CTATGATTCTATGATTCTAAATCTTAATGTACCACAAATGTGGTTTTTTACTGAGTTTTTACATTATTATTATAAAGAAAAGAAGCAGAGAAAAATAATAAGGAAAAAAAGAAAAAAGGGACAAGAAGATTCATAGGATAACTACATTGATATAAGTTGACTGAATTTCCAAAAATACATTTTCTTCAAATTTATCACTGTAAAATATATGTACAGCAGTAAATTTTACCATAGAACCATTGATGATGAATGTTTATCTTTCCACAGTTCATTTTCACATTTTGTTGTCCTTGTGTGCTTTCAAATTGACTCGGAGTTATGGTGATCCTATCCTAAGGTTTTCTTGGCAACTTTTAATCAAGAGATTTGCCATTGCCTTCCTCTAAGGTTGAGAGAGAGTCAGTTGCCTACAGTCAAGACATGGCTGGAATGGGTTCCACAGCTGAGTTGAGATTTGGAACCTGGTCTCCCAGAGTCCTAGTCCAGCACTCAAATGACTACACCACACTGGCACATCACAAAAATGCAATTTAAAAGTACATCTACAAATACCAAAGATTTTTCTAACACAAGTTAGTTGTCGCCGTAAGTTGGCAGGCAACTTGAAGGCACATGGTCAAAAAAAAAAGTTTTACTGGATATGCATGCAATTTCATCTTCAGAATGTCTTGTAAACCTCACAGTGGGCACAGGATGTCTCTACAAGCTCCTTTGGGGAATATGTTACAGGCTTGAAGTACCCAGCAAAGCTCTTCTGGAAGTGTGAACAGGATGCAATCGGAGTGGGGAAATACGTTGTTTGTTGTAATAGCAGTCGTGTTTTCTCCACAGCTGCTGAACAGATTCAAACACATCATGTACCAATGTTTGATTGAATTGATTATGTTGTTGTTGTTGTTATTGTATTGCATAATAAATGCAATTAAACATTGGTGCATGTTGTGTTTGAATCTGTTCAGCAGCAGTGAAGGAAACATCTAGCTGTGCTCAAAATTTCATTGATCCTGCTTCTACACCTCTGACGTGTGTGTCACCTGATGGGTGCCGTACCAAATAATGATGTCACTGGTCCATTAACTTAACTCAAATGCATTAGCACTCAAGGGAAGAGGGAGCTTATTACAGTGTGTGGCGTGGCGTGCAGAAAATAGAGAGTATTGATATGTCTTTGGATCACAGTAACTGCTCCCTTCCATGTCCAGCTTTCCAGTCTCAAACTAAACTGAACATCTGGATAGCATAACTGTGAGGGTGTAATATTTCCTGCCCCCACCTGCTCACTCAGCTTTCACCTGTATGTGCCAGGTTGGTCTTACCTATATATGCACCATCTTGGGATTCAAAAGGAGCATCTGGATTTATTTATTTTTAAATTACAAAGCCATGTTTTCTTTCTAAGAAGGCAATACCCACAGGAACATCAGCTACATCCCCACAACTCCTTCTGAAGACAAGTTGCTTTTCTCTTCGCAAACCTGCATTTCATCCCATTCAACCAATCAACGTGGCCAGAATTACATACTACAGTTGTTCTTGTCAGGCTTTTCCTGGGCCTCAGCCACACCTATGAAACCTGCATGCTAACTGATGCTTACTGTTTAAAGATCACGACCACACATCAAGAGACAGGACCATTGTTTGGATATGACATATACAATTCTTATTTTAAAAGTTCATCTTTTTAAATCTCTGTCAAACACTATTTCAGCTAATCCTTGAAAAAGCACAAACTCATGGTTTTCTATTTTTCAAGGGCCTTCTCCTGAGTTGATGATGAAGCACAGATTCACACCATCAGATCTTTCTAATCTCAGTGCCAAGATTGTTGAAACAAATGGGACATGCCAGTTTAATATCACCTGGATTCTTAAGGCAGATGGTAGGTCTCATGGTAGGACAATGGAATGATTGTGAAATTCCTGCACTCTGATTTGGGAAATAATAGATGCTCTGCTCAATTGTGACTTTCTTTTCTCTGACTTTTCTTAGTAACAGATTTCCTTGAAAACTTAGGAAAACCATGGGGTCACCATAAATTGACAGATAACTTGAAGGCACATATATACACACAGCATATATCAGAAGGATACTATAATGCTGCCAGTATATTTTCTTTATTTACAAATGCATGAGTGAATCATAAGTGGAAGCAAATATATGCTCTCTCTATAGGCAGAAAATCCCCAGAGCTCAGTTTGGGTCTCTTCTAATGCTGCATCCCATGGTAGAAGCTCTTTATTTCTCTGCCAATTCCAGTTGCAGTCTGCTATTTCCTAAATACATTAAAGGCACCAGATCCTGTCTGATCTTGGAAGTCAAGCAGGGTCAGCTCTAGTTAGTACATGGATGGGAGATGGCCAAGGAATATTAGGTTCTGTGGGTTATATTTCAAAGCAGGGGTCGGCAACCTACGGCCCGCCGCGGCCTTTGAACCGGCCTGTGGCTGTCCCGCTGATGCCGCCGTGCACACGC